TACCTGCTGGCCCCGATTCTTAGTATTTTTATTTACTGTAGTGCATATGTGCTTGCCAGAGAAAAATAGAAAGCGAGAGGAAAAGTGAGATAGTAACCTCATCGGGGATGGCCACTCCATAGTCCTCTGCTCAGCACTTTGGGTCTGCCATGCTCCCAGCATGTCTTTTTTGTTTTTGTTTTTGTTTTTTGGAGAGGTTTTTCCTATAGGGCGCTTGCACTCACCAGAAAGACAGAGACAAAAAGCAAGAAATCACCCCCCATGGCCACGCCATAGTCCCTTCTCCATTCTCCTCTCCCCTTCTCTATTCTCCTCTCAGGATCTTGGGCACGTTCACACACGTGCCCGGCGTGAGTTTAAGCCACCGGGTCCGGGACTCAAACCGCAGTTGACTGCATGGAAGTTCAGCGACATAACCATTGTGCCAACTGCTGATTCCTCCTAGCGTGAAGCTTCCAGGCCAGGTCTGAGATTCAAACCACACAGTTGGCCATGTGGGACCCAACCGTCTTTTTTTTTTTTTTTTTTTTTTTAAGAATTTTAAATTTTTTACTCTTTATTTAGCTTCTTTTAAAAAAAAGATCTGAGCTAGCCCTATGGCCCAGAGTTAAGGGAGCTAAATCCCATGTGGCCGATTGTTTTTATGTTTTTAAATTTGTCAGAGAGTGTGAAAGCTCATGGAGGGAAAAAGAGAAAGAGGGAAAGCAAGCACCCTCCCTCCCATTCGGAGTAGTCCCATTTCAATCCCTTTCCTTCTGTCTGTCCCTCCTTTAAAGATTCTGAGCACATGCACATGCAATCCACATGTTCCTCCAGCTGTGGGATCCAGCTTAGGTAACGATCAGGTCATGGCCTGGCCCCCAGTTGCAGTTGGACTCTTGACCTAGGTGGCTTAAAAAGTGCTCGGTGCGTGTGCATGTGTGCCCCAAATCCTGACAGGAATGGAGAAATGGAGGAAAAGGGATTGTCGTGTGGCCACGCCACATTGGGAGTTTTTTTTTTGTTTTTTGTTTTCTTAAGAATTCTTTAACTTTATTTGTTTGGTTTAATTTGACCAGAGAAGGACAGGGCAAGAGAGAGAGAAAGTAAGGAAGCAAGTTGCTAGATCTGGGATTCAAACCTCGGTTGGCCATGTGGATGGGAGTCCAGTGCCTTTAACCACTTTGCCACCTACTGACCCTGAGAGATGCTTCTTTCTCTCCCTGTCTGGTAGGAGCAAGTGCTCTCTGACAGTATAAACATTAATAAGACCAGGACCAGCAGATAGCATAATGGCTACGTTGCTGGACTCCCACATGCCCGACCATGGTTCAGGCCCTAGACCCAGTGGCTTCAAAATCAAGCTGGACATGTGTGCATGTGTGCCCGAGATCCTGGGAGGAGAGTAGAAGGGATAGTGGCGTGGCCATCACCCATGGAGGGTGATTTCTTGCTTTCCCTCTCACTGTGTCTTGTCGGTCTCTTTCTCTCTCCCCATGGCAAGCACACATGACTTAAAACAAAAACCTGTTAAAAAAAAATTGTGCCTGCTGGTGGCATGGTGGTTACAATGACAGGATCCCACATAGTTGATCATGGTTCAAGTTCTGGACCTGGCAACTTGAAAAACATGCTGGACACGTGTGCATGGGTGCCCACAATTCCAAGAGGAGAATGGAAGAGAAGGGATTGCGGTGTGGCCAATCTCCCTGGTGGATAATTTCTGTCTCTGGTGATCACATGTACCCTAGAGCAAAACTGTAAATAAATAAAACCGTTGTTTTCTGAACCTCTCTTTTACTTTATATTTGTCCACTTTATTTTAAAAAAGAAAACAAAAGTTGGGGACCAGCAGGAGGCATGATGGTTAAGGTGCCTAGATACTCTTACATGGCCGACCGTGGTTCAAGTCCTGGACCTGGTGGCTTGCTTTCTCACTTTCCCTCCCTCTCTCTTCATGTCTCTCTATGGTCTTTTTTTTTTTTTTGGCGGGTTT